TTTCTGTACTCTAAAACCATCTTTCTAAATAGATCATCTTGATTTCCATATAACTGGTGTGTGAAGATAGGCCTTTCTAGTATTTTCCATTAATGTATGCCACATGTTTTTTCTTTTTGTTATTGCTTATGGCAGATAACACGTTCAAGATTACTTACAGTCATTAAAACCGTATTTTCATCCAATTCTGTTTCTATTTTTTGTGATGCAGTGAGTCACTTTAAGACTCTATGAGATTCATTCTGTCATAATGTAGAAAGTACTACAAGTAGGTTCTTCATTTTCATTAGTTGTAATCATTATCTTTGTTATAAATAACAATTTGGTTTTCTATATCAGTATACACAATGTTTAAATCAATCATGGTTTATTTTTGTTTATTCATAACTTTTGAATTTAACAAGTATATGTGGTATTCTCAGGTTAAATTGATTTTCACAAAAACGTTTTAGATAGATCAACCTTATGAAGGGTGGTATTGGTGTGAAAATTTCTGACTATAACTAAACTAGTTGAGTTTAAACAAAGAAGTTAACAAACTGAACACAACATGTAATACAAAATGAAAACAATATATATTTATTCATAGACATGAACACACTGTTTGTACTTATGTAAGAACACTTGAAGTCACCAGATACTGATTTACTGAATTGACCAACAGATTTTTCCCCTCAAGATGTTTTCCCGTCAACCAGCTATCTGAGATCCTGTGTAAGCAGTTTAACACTGACGTTTCTTACTTAACTGGAAACGTTGGATTTACACAACGCGATTAGTGCTATCACGTGACCGATCATTCGCATTCAAAATAAGGAATACTGCTCTGATTGAACTTATTGCCCAACATGTAGTGTTGCAGTAATATCTTCCTTGGGTAGAGCAGGTATTATTGCTAGGGCACAACAGAGGAACAAAGGCAGTTAGAACGTAGTCAACTTAGTTTTTTCTTTACCACGTGTTAGGCGAAAACTTAATAGACTCCGAATAAACGAGATATTTCGAAAATTTCTACATTACAAAAAGATAAAAAGCGGATAGTATGTCCACATACTGTATATGTACAAACCATAATGTTTTAATATATTTGTTTTTGTTTGAAATAACTATGGTATACAAAAAAAAATATGGGGAAAAGTTTTACTGTGTTTGATTCATTATACAAAGGTGCTTGTTTAAATTTTGTTGGACTGTCTGTGCTGTATCCGCCGCAGAGATCCAACCCTGAATTGTATCGTTATAACCTCTCAAACATACCTCTGAGCCATCAAAGGACAAATGTTTGTCTTAAATTATATCGAAACTGTAAGAAAACTAAATATTTCGATATGAGCATTTAAAAATATAGTCTTGTTCAATAATACTGAATAATAAAATGCATTTTTCGTGTACTGCATAAATCTTTTTTAAACAACCCAACAATTTGAATATGTGATTAAATTATAAAAATGATGTACGAAATAATTTATCTAAACCTATGAGCATAGAAATGTTCTTTGAAATATAACCTCTCAGTTGAAAAAAAAAACATCCTAAAAGTGGATTGTTTAGGAATATGAGCACTTATTGTTTGTCCCAAAATCAAAGTATAGTGTGATCAAACAATTTCTATTACAGTAGCTCTAAGAAGAACTACATCGTATATATTTTGCTTTCACTAAAATAGTCCAAAAGTCAGCCAAAAACTAGCATGTCAACCTGTACTGCACCTTATGCTATACATGAGCTAAACTACCAAGTCAGAGAAGTTAAGGTTCAGGCTTTAGTTTATTTGTAGCTAAGCACAAAGCTACACAAAGGGCTATCTATGCTGTGCCCACCACGGGTATCGAAACCCAGTTTGTAGCGTATAGGTCCAAAGATTTACCGCTGTGCCACTTGGGGGGGGGGGGCAAGGTTCAGATTTAATCATCCCTAGTTTGGAACTGTTGACTAGAAGGAGGACATCCTACTGTTATGCGGCTACTCTGAACCACATATCGGAACAGACTGTCACATTTGTAAAGGCATTATTTCCAGTTTCTTTTCGCAGCTCAAACGTTGAACCTTGCAGTAACCAGCCTGGCAAACTAACAAATAAGTCACACCCTGCCAAAGATCGACAGATAAATCACAAAGTTCAAATGTTGGATTATCTAATAATCTCCAGAACAAGTAAACCGTTTTAGAATAACTTTGAGGTGAAAAATTCTAAAATTGTATATTTTCATCAGATAGCACGTGTTCTCGGTACGCTTCAGCACTTATAACTCTAATATTCGGGGTTATTTCCTGGTGGTGAACAAAGCACAAATAGCCCACTGTGCAGTTTTAGGCTAAAACCAACAAACAAGTATTCCACATTCAAGGAGTAAAAACTTGTAAGGCCAATAATCAATCTTGAATTTTGTTCGTTATAAAATATTTGAAAATATTATATCACTAGACAGTACTTTGTCTGTACTGAAACTATTATTATTATATCAATTAGCAACATATACTGCAGGTGTCAAAATGTAGATTATTTTTTTTTTATAGATTGTAGGGGAAAATGAAACGGCTGAACATTTCAGAAGATAATATACTAAATAAAACAGTCACATGTTTAGGTAAGTCTCATAAGCTGCAAACATTCATTCCGAATAAATTTAGTTAAGTAATTTTTCCATTTTTTTAAACATACAAATTCAGTTTTGTATGTATGTATGTTGTGTTCTTAATAGATTTTCGTTTATTTGACCTTGTTCAAAAGTTTGTGTTGTACTTTATATTCGGAACTCCCACCATTCAGTTGTTCCGTTACATTATATCATACTCCTTTTTCCTACGGTTGGACAGCGGTAAGTTTACAGACTTGTAACGCTAAAATCTGGTGTTCGATTCCCCGCATTGGACACAGTAGATACCCTAATGTGGCTTTGCTCTAAACAAACAAACAAATCCCCTTATGGGACAGCGATAAGTCCAGCTGCCTTGCCTCTAGTCTTACACTGCTAAATTAGGGACGGCTAGCGCAGATAGCCTCGTGTAGCTTTGCGCGAAATTCAAAACAAACAAACAAACAATCTTATTTCAATCAAGAAGGTGATTAGGACACAGACGCATAAAGATGTTAATGTTTCTTTAGCGCAAAACTACTCTTTTTATTTCAATGGGGCCCGGCATGGCCAGGTGGTTAGGGCGCTCGACTCGCAATCTGAGGGTCGCGGGCTCGAATCCCCGTCACACCAAACATGCTCGCCCTTTCAGCCGTGGGGGTGTAATAATGTGACGGTCAATCCCACTATTCGTTGGTAAAAGAGTAGCCCAAGAGTTGGCGGTGGGTGGTGATGACTAGCTGCCTTCCCTCTAGTCTTACACTGCTAAATTAGGGACGGCTAGCGCAGATAGTCTCGTGTAGCTTTGCGCGGAAGTTTTATAACTCCAGTTGATTCACAAACGCAACAATAAAAATAAATTATTATTTTCTAATAGACCACTTAACTGAATTATAATTTATTAGCAAAATATAAAGGAAAGCTGGGTGATTTAATTTGACTAAACTTCACCATTTTCTTAAAGTATTAATTACTTTCGGTTACTTTCTCGGATATATTAACTGACTTGATGAAATCTGATACTAGCTAAAATTGATTGAATTTCTAGCCCACCATGGTATGGGTTTTACCAGGTGATTTGTGTGGATATGCTCCATTTCAGATTTTAGTTTGATATATCAATATTGATTATTCTCCAAAAGAAGTTTTCTGAACATATGATTGCTCAAGTGTGTTGCGTTGTTAACTTAGGGGTAAAATAGGTAATTATTGAAATATTTTGATATCATTAAACTTTTTTCTTGATTTGATAAAGTCTTATCCTTTGCTTGGCTGTTATTAGTGTGCTTATGAACAGAGATTTGGAGAGCATTATTCATGCTACGCAACTGTTTAGCGAGATAAACTGAACGAATCTAATAAAAATGTAATTTTCTGTTTACGACACACGTCAAGATTATTTCTGGATAGTACATGTTAACACGTCTTAATGAAAAAAGTTACCTGTTTATGAGTACGTGTGATTTACTGCATTCAACACCTCGTATAGCGTTGTTCACGCAGCAAACAAGGAAGAATATAAAGATATACCTATACTTCAAAACTCATGGTTTTATTGGAACGAGAAAACTTCGCTTTCATTTGTTAGCTGCTTCTTCTACTATTATTGTCCTTAATCATTGACAAAGTTTTTGGAAACCTGAATATTTCAATTTTAAATGATTTCCATTTAATTAATAATAACATTCAGTCAAAAATAAAAATAACTAGATAATGAGTATAGCTCATTAAATGTGCAGTTTTTTTATGTTGTTACATATAAAAATTAGATTGCATTGTTTCATCAGCTGTATATCCTCGCTCTTAACGATGTTTTCGGCCGTAAACCCAATAACATTTCACGAGATTCAGTCATCTTAGGAGGTTTACGTTAATCATAATTCCATATACTAAGCTAACAAGTTAAAATAATTTCTATAATAAAAGTATAATAATAAAAAATTGAAAGTAACATTAAAGAAAGAATAGAATATACATTACATAGTTTTGACTTCTTCAAAATATCAGAAGCATAACCGTCGAAGCATGTACAGGAATTGAGTACAAAATTAAACTGATTCGAGATTAAATTCATTTTTTCCGGTTTGACAATATCCAGATCACTTATCTTCGATGTATTTGAAGTCAGATACAAGAGTTTGAATAATACTTAATCTGTCTTAAAATACTGAAATCAAGGAAAACTAGGATCATTTTCCATTAAAAGTACACAAAGACATTGAGAGTTCACTCAAAAGATTAGCAGACTTTTAATAACCATGAAATTATTAGTTAATGGTATACACGTATTAACAAAAAACAATTATTTTCTTCATTATAAAATTGGTTTTTTTCTGATGAATAGAAAATTGAAAATTCTTTAGAAAACAAGATATCAATTATTTTTAATTTTCTATTTTAAAATTCCGAAAGTCTACTGATTCTTCTCATTTTTGTCTTAATAGCTGGAAAACTTATTTATCATAAACTCAAAAGTTTTTCAAATATTAGCATAGTTTTGCTAGACATTTGCTTGATATTTCAGTATTAAAAAATAAAGAAAATACATTGATACATTTCTTTCATGTAATGTTAAACTGCAACATGTTTAGTTGTTTAGTATGCGTTGTTCAATATTCCGAACATTTAGTGATCGGGATTGGTTGTTTTCTAATGAAGAATATATTAGTTATACAAACACTGAACCAAACAGCTCGTTGAAAAAAATTACATTTACACAATATCAAAACGTAGCAAATAGAACATCTTATTTCAACAATAAATTTACCAAAACATATACTGTCGCACTTATGTTACTTGTTTATAACAATCACCGTGAATAGCTGTTTCGTGCAGTAATAGAGATTATTTGGTTATAATACTACTCATATTCTAGTCCAATCACGTGATCACATTATACGCTTCAGACTTATTACATACGCTGCAAAACTAAGACATCGCCTAATTTAGTTCATTATGGAAGATACCCATCCACTGTTTCAAGTGGAGACTATGTCTGGGGGAAGATACCCGTCCACTGTTTCAAGTGGAGACTATGTCTGGGGGAAGATACCCCTCCACTGTTTCAAGTGGAGACTATGTCTGGGGGAAGATACCCGTCCACTGTTTCAAGTGGAGACTATGTCTGGGGGATGATACCCGTCCACTGTTTCAAGTTGAGACTATGTCTGGGGAAGATACCCGTCCACTGTTTCAAGTGGAGACTATGTCTGGGGGAAGATACCCGTCCACTGTTTCAAGTGGATACTATGTCTGGGGGAAGATACCCATCCACTGTTTCAAGTGGAGACTATGTCTGGGCAATGTTTCAGATATGAAGCACTACAAAAACTGATAATATTCATCAGGTTGCCCAGGGTTGAAATTCTGCCGGTATTCACAGGTGCTGAATACCGGAACTTATTTTAGCTGCTTTGTCGTTTCTTGTGTTTACACGTAGACTTTTTCTTTTTTCTCAAAAACAGGTCCACTTCACCCAGCTAAGTATGTCTACTTTTATTTTTATTTTTTTTAGAATTTCACCCCTGACTGGTTGCCCATATACAAAGGATATTCCAGTATGCATTCTCTTTTCATCATAGAATACAGATAAAAATATTAATTTTATGGATTACTATTAGCAAATATTTAAAAAATGTACAGGATGTCTTTGACAAAAGAACAACAACAACCTTTTTCTAGCTATTATGATAATGGGGGCCATAACAATCAGTTGTATATATATGCTGCAATACAGCATGGTTTTGAAGAAGTTTATTCTTATCAAGATAGCTTTTGATATATTTGTAAAAAAATTCATATATCAAAACCTAATACATCAAAATTTATAAATATTCTATTATATCACATTTTATTGAGGGGAAAGACGAATGCAGAGGTGCGTTGCCATCTCTGGTACCCATCCTTCGGCTTGTTTGATTAGTTACGAGATTATTAAAAAATGGGATCAAAGGAGAAAGCGCTAGGGAATCGGATCGTTTTTCTTCGATTACACAGACTCCTTCACCTCTTGCATTACTTTGACTTGCTGCCTTCGATTCTAAAATTCCGAGGCTTTTCGCTCGTTGACGGCTGTTTTTTGTTCCTGGCCGGCTGGAGTCGCTCTCTGCAATGAATGGAAAGGGAAATAGAGTGGATTTGCTTTATTCGTATCATAACACAGCTTTTGTATTTGTGAATTTTTCACTCTCGGAACTTCCTAGCAAGTGAATATGTTTTCACATAAAGTGAAACGAATAAAAAAGGTGATCGGTAAAATTATTGTTATAATATCTAAATAAGAAATATCTCAACTCTAATAAAATCCAAGAACCTACCTCCGAAGCTGAAGAAAGAAATAAACAAATAATTGACAGCCCGTTTTACTAGTTTAGAAGTAAAGTTTAGGATTTATAACCATACCTTCAGCTAAGTAGAACATTTTAACCCATAATACAATGAAATCGTTTCTGGAACTTCAAGTATTAAGCTTTCCTAAATAGTTCGCAGCAAATAATCGTAATATTGCGATCCTCACCTTCAATTCTATCCTTATCTGCTGCAAAAGCTGATGAATCTTTTTGTACTTTTTGGTAGTTTTTCACAGCTTTATCATCGGACTCCATGGGTGTGTCTTTGAAATGATGTAAGATATGTTCACGAGAACCTACAGATTCACTGCTACTCTCAGAGTCCATAAATCTAATAACTTGGTCCACGAAGGACAAGGGACTAAGATGAGAGAGAGAACAACTCTCCATCTGTAAAATTTCTTGAAACTCCAAAGTTGGCACTTTAGTATTGGGACTGGATCCCTTCCTAATGCTCTTGGGACTTTCTGGTAAACATGCGGGAGCTAGAACTACATTCAGTGAAACTAAAGACAATTTCCTGCAAAAATGAAACGAAATTGTAGTTTGTTTTCTTTATCCCTTTTTTCTAAACATTTCAATGAGACAAACAATTATTAATAGTGTTTTTTTGTTGTTATGTTTATCTTCGTTAAACCAGTTTCCCAAAACTAAATATTCCTATAGATATTCCGCGTTATGGAACATAATAGGCCACAAGTTAAATTTTAAATTGTAGCTTTCGGATGGCATCAGTAATGTTATTCTTAACTTTTGTTGCAATGATTTTGTGGTTGTAATAAACTTTATAGTAAATGTTACCTGACAGGATGTTGTTTCTCAAGAGGTTCATCAAATTCTTCTTCTACGGGAGATGGAGATCTGGATATTGTGGTGAATTCCCTATTTTGCCAGAGAACTGGAACTATAAGTTAAGGAGATACAGCATTAGAAACGTGTTATTAATTCACCACGCAATTTAAAATACTCTGAAATAATTCACTAGAATTTTGCCCTGATCATTGCAGAAATAATTGATCAAATAACCATAACTCACAGAGTGAAGTAATAAAAGTACGATTCGTAAAGATGGATGTAAATAATTTGAACGGGGCAAATTGAACCTCATTTAACAGTTTTGGTTTGTTTTTGAATTTCATGCAAAGCTACATGAGAGCTATCTGCGTTAGCTGTCCCTAATTTACCAGTGACAGACTAGAAAAAAGGCTAGTCAAAACCACTCACCGCCAACTATTGGGCTACTCTTTTACCAACGAATAGTGGGATTGACCATCACATTATAACGCCCTAACGGCGAAAAGAGCGAGCGTTTCCGGTAACGGAGATTCGAATTTGTGACTCACAGATTGTACGTCGAGCGCCCTAACCATCAGGTCAGGTTTTTAACTGAAAAGCAGTAGTCGTGTACTTATGCACTGGTAAATACGCATTTGTGATTATTATGAAAAATAAATAATCCAGTAATAAGAAAAAGCTAACTAATCAAGTCACTTTACAAAAATTATAAAGTGAGAATATTGATAATAATAACTCCGAACTTACTGAGGAAAGTGATAGCTTAGCTAGTAATGAAAAGGCATTGCTTTAATAATAGCGGCTCCATCATGATCAATTGAGTAAACAGAATCAATATTTTGTACGTATCATTTCAAATATACAAGATACATGAACAATAGAGCTAGCATACAATCTTAGAAAAGGTATAGCTGATTTAAATATAATTTCAGACGATCAGTTAAGATTCTCACAAATTCTTAAATGCATTTTATTCTCAGCTATATCATCTTATTGCAAATTATCTCCAAATATTACATTATAGGCTACACTTGAAGAGGTAATAGAGCGCAGTGTCGGAGTACGCTCTTTTCTTTGATCGAATATTTACAAGGCTGCTGGTTCAATATATCCTTTGTAAAGTAAGAACAGGTTAATTATAAAACAATGTTCGAATGTGTGCCTTCCAGTGACTCAGAGGACTACAGGCTTCAACTCTAAAAATCGGGTTTCGAAACCGGTCGTAGGCAGAGCACAGATTGCCATTTTGTACTTAACAACAATTAACCCGAACCAAGTTTACTCTTGTGGATAACATATTCGAAATGACACATTGAAGCAGGTTTCAATACCTACCTTACATTTCTAAAACCATTTAAAAGTAAAACCACAGCTACTAATGAGTCAATTAATTGAGATGTGAATCCCATAATGCACTGCTTCATTAGTCTTATAAAGATCAGCAGATGCTGGAGAAACCAAAAGTAATTAAGATGCCACAAGAAAGAGAGTCACGGGCCTTATAAAAGGTACGGTTATTGGATGCAGCATTGATGGTGTAAGTGCATGTAGATGTTTGAGCACACCTGTCAATACCCAAGTTCATTATAATTTATGTGTATATATATTCAGCAAGGCGGTTGTAATGTTAAAGATGATCGTAAACCAATGTTGAGAAGATCATTTCTTTAAATTTTTTTGTTGGCAGAAGATTGTGTTAAAAATGCACCTAAGCCTACTAAGTCGACATACTGTCCATTACTAATATCGGTTTCAGATATATTTCAACCACCAACATACCCACAACATATAGTGTTAGATATGTTAGACATACCTAAACAAATTAACCAGTCTCGAGCAGACAAATGTCTATTTGACACATACGTTATTGTGACATAAATAAAACTGACGAAAAATGACAATCCACCAACTTAGTCAAATTCACTCTGTTACAGTTGTTGCAAAGTGATTTCCTAATATAAATGGCATCTCAACAACTAATTTGTCTGTCGTATCCCAGCAGGCCTGAACAGCCCTAGTATTAAACGAAAAGCACTGGGTAAAGCAGATATAATGTGGTTGACATATTATTTTGCACTTTTCTTTACTTTTACTCAGAACTTCTTATTAATAATTACTCGTTATGTATGGCATTGCTCAATTTATACATACCTAAATACAACTAGTATTTATGTTACATACACCTAAACACAATATAAACTGATATTTATGTTACATACACCTAAACACAATATAAACTGATATTTATGTTACATACACCTAAACACAATATAAACTGATATTTTTGTTACATACACCTAAACACAATATAAACTGATATTTTTGTTACATACACCTAAACACAATATAAATTGGTATTTTTGTTACATACACCTAAACACAATATGAACTGATATTGAGGTTACATACACCTAAACACAATATAAACTGATATTGATGTTACATACACCTAAACACAATATAAACTGATATTGATGTTATATACACCTAAACACAATATAAACTGATATTGATGTTACACAAAACCTATAACTTATCAACGATGTATAGTAATATTTTCATCAGAAATATCTAGTTAATAACATTCCGAAGATGTAGACTATGTTTCTGTTAACGACTACTAAACACAATATACTAAATTCCACACACACTGACCTTGAATGTCTTCACAGTTTAAATCACCTGTGGAAGATGAGTTTTCAGGAATCGGAGAAGTGATTCCATGGCTGACTATAATCAACGGTTCGTCTAACTCCTTTAGTCGAGCTATTAAAGTTTGTAATTCAATATTTTTCTGTAAAGAGAGATTTTTTTTTAGAATTATCGTGTATGTATAGTTCTAGACAACTTGTTCACATGCATCTGTATAACTGAATACAACACATAAGCATCAAATAATCAATTACTGATTCATGACTGCTTTGAAATAAATTATTTTGGCTGCTTATGGATAACATGAAACGCACAACACAGAAGCAACGGAAAATCAATTACTGATTCGTGATTTCTTTGAAATAAAGCTTATGGATAAGCTTATGCTTATAAGCTGCTTATGGATAACATGAAACAAACAACACATTTTCCAAATCTGCAATGAAAATATATACCTTGCCAGTTAACCAAAATATAACCATATACATTTTACTCTCTTTACATTACTTTACTAACTTATTTATTTTGTGTTTGCGTAAAACATCTTTCTTAAAAAATTGATTAGCTCAGCTTAGTTATGACATAATTAATAAAAATAGCGCAATGAGCTTTCGTTTTGGTAGAAGTAGATCAAAGATCAAAATTACAGCAAAAAGTGGCTTATATATCTAAGGAAAGGAGAGTGATTTCCACATACAAGGTTGAATTTTGTAAGCCCACAGTGCTTGGCTGTTACAAATACTGACCTTTAATGGCAACGTCTTATTGAGAATAAGATATGCTTGCTAATTGCCAGGATACTTAAATAATTAAGTACATCAGTATGCAAACAGCTTGCCTTTTAAAATATACTTTAGGTAGGCCTACATAGAAAAGTATACAGAGGATTGAGTACGTTATATTAAAATTATTTTGAAAATATTAGGTCGTCAAGAAATTAATGTTGCGTTTTGGAACACTTTCATTACCTCCCCCCCCCCAATAAACGTACATCACGTATAATAGTTAAACGAACCCCTAAACGTCATGTTAGTGTAGCCTGTATAATGTGTAAACTTTAGTAA